GTTACTCAGAGGTTCCACCGCGACGCCGTGACCTCACACATCTGTCATACTTCCTGCAGCTCCCACTCATCAGTTCTTGGCATGTTACTGGTAAAAATTCATTTGAAAAATGCAAATATTCACGCCACAATATTCACAGAATTTCCTTTCCCCTTTGCTGGTGGACAGGAACTTCACAGCTCAACCCCTAGAAACCACTCCTAGGTTTACAATGTCATTTAAGTCTTTTTTAAAAGGCCCCTTCAGAAGCAAATATAATTCAGAAATCTTACTATTCAGACATGGCTTCTCTGCAAACTCCAGCCTGTTGGTAGCACTAATACAGTAACATAGTAGCGCATGGTTGGGCCTGAAAGCTCACACCCCTGCTATCTACTGCAAATGCTCCCAGCATGCCGTGCGGCTGGACCCATGGAACACGGCTGCCAGTTAATTTAATGAGTTCACTGGCCGGCTGACATGCCAGTAGAACTTCAGCTGTCTCTCCACCCCAAAGCCACCAAAAGGGCTAAACGCACTATGGCATCACTGACCAATAGGTTTAACTTCCCTTCATGGGGTGACCCTTGTGACAAGGCCAAGGAGCCGCAAGCTTCCTCCTGACCAGGACCAGGGCCTGGGATCAATGCAACACATAGAGTCAAAATGGGAAATGGTTTCAGTGGGTGAGGAAGAGGCAGAGACGTGGCTTTGTGAGTCAGGGATATTAGAAAGTTGAGGAGGTGCAGAAGACTCTGCATGGTTCAGGACTGACGTCAGGTCTGTGGTCTTAGCTACCGGTAAAGATGAGCGGGACCAACTGACACAAATTCCCATGACATGGCCAGCCACAGAACCCCGCCCCGCCCCCCCCATCCGGACACTTCTATTTTAAATCAAAGAAAAAGAATAAGAAAGCAAAAAGCAAAGAATAAAACCAATAAAGAATAATAATAAAGAACAAAAACGCAAAGAATAAAAATAATAAAGAATAACGTCCAGTGAGCCCGAAAGCTCCTGTGAGCCCGAAAGCTCCTGTGAGCCCGAATACTCCTGTGAGTGTGAATTTCAGCTCCATCAAGACGGCGGCCCTCAGAATTTTTTTGTATTTTTGGGTCATAAAGGACAAATCATGTGACTCATAAGCTGTATAATTTTAAGTGACTATTAGAACAAAGATTCTTGTTTGGAATAGAATGGAACATTAAACTTCCTGCTTATAATATGTAGAACTAGTGGTAAAAATCCTACTGAGGTTAGTGCACATAGTTCACATGGGATTGGCCTAGTGAGTGTCATTAATAATAATAATAAAAACTAGCCCAGCAGTAACCTCAAGATACTTATTGCAGGTAAATAAATAGTAATAGTTTGTGCTAATGCTTAATGCATTTAAACAATCACTAAAGTTGCGATATGTACATTTCAGAGAATTTGGTCAACCCTCCATTCTCGAAAAACAGCACGAACGCCTGAGACTCACTTCCTACTTCTGATAGGCTGGACTGCCTGCAGGTGGTGGTCGGCTGGAAGATCCCCCCTCAGCCTCAGCAGAAGCGGCCTGATGCGTCTCCCTCCCGTGCTGCATCTGCTGTGAGAAAACAGAAACTGAGCCAGGCCACTTTACCAGGTAACCCTTGCTTTGGGATATATATTTTTTTTTGATGTGTGTGGGTTTGACATCCTTTTATTTCCAGACACATGGTGTAACTCCGCAATTTCTCATTTCTTGCACTCCACTAGCAAACAGCTTGTGGTTTATAAGTGACGTATCACCGTCCCCTGGCAACATCTGACCAGAGAAGCTTCAGCTTCCGAAGACAGCTTGTGTGGTTCCAAGCGCACATCATGCAGATCACAATGAACAGTTCATAAATTATAGATTGTTTGTAAATTAGCCTTGAGGTATTACAGGAAACAACAATGGTGCTCAATGGTGTATTGATATAGGACAGAAGTTATGTGGAGAAAGTTTTTTTTAGATTAGTTTAACCACAAGAAAGTTCCAATTTGTTATATAAAGAGCAAACGTAATCGTACTAGACATGAGGGTGACATATGTCTGGTTTTAAAATAGATAGGGACCAAATTAGCCCCCAACTCCCTAAACACACATGGGACTCCCATTGTATTGCAAGAGAACTTCATCCCAAACATTTTCTCTTGAGTGGTAGTATTAAAAATATTCTCGATCATTGACCTGCATTGTGTCTTGGAATCGCCGGGTGTCACAGAACACGTATACTACACATGTGTCAAGAGGCATAATACATGGATGGTGTCCCTGCAAACAGCCCCCCCCCCCCCCCCCCCCCCACCTCTACATGTGGGGAGCATGATTAGGAAGACTATGTTTTATTTACAGCAGTGTTTCCAAATTTGGTCCTTGGGGACCCACAGACAGTCCTCCCAGGGAGCAGAAATGTGGAGTGTCGGACGGGAAGCGCAAACGTGAACCAGCTGCGGGTCCCCGAGGACCGCTTTGGGAAACACTGATTTTCAATGCTTCTATTCTATAAGCTGCGGTTGATTCTCATGGTCCATTTGCATCAAGCTTGGGTGGCTTACGGCCCCCTGACATGAGCATGCTGCATGGTTAGGACAGCTGTCTGGTGTTGCCGACCTCACAGGATCTTGTGTGGTCTTGATTTTCCTTTTAGCTATGTTTAGCTTTGATTTTGTTGACGTTTCATTTTCGATTGACGTCTTTCAAAAAGTCCAGCATCAACACAGATATCCGGCTCATTTTTTTCACTATATGTTTTGCAATAGTGAATGTTTTGCGCGAAAGACTAACATCCTGTCCAGGGTGTCCCCTGCCCTGTGCCCTGTGATGGACTGGAATTATGCCCAGGGTGTCCCCTGCCCTGTGCCCTGTGCTGGACAGGCAATACGCCCATGGTGTCCCCTGCCCTGTGCCCTGTGATGGACTGGCATTACGCCCAGGGTGTCCCCTGCCCTGTGCCCTGTGATGGACAGGCATTATGCCCATGGTGTCCCCTGCCCTGTGCCCTGTGACGGACAGGCATTACGCCCATGGTGTCCCCTGCCCTGTGCCCTGTGATGGACTGGCATAAGTAGTCAGATAAGTAGTTGGAAGACGCATGAATGAATGATTGCCTATAGAATATTGGGCAACCTCTGATTAGAAAGATTGTATTTTTGTAGGGAACTGGGTGCTGAAATGTTTATAGCATTTTTTGTTGGCCGTGTGTTCGAACAGTAAGCGACATGCATTATTGGAGATCTGTATGTCTAAAGCGTGACCTGAAAGACATTCACAGCCCTCACAGGAAGCTTCTAGAAAAATCCGCGGTGTGGATGTGGGTGGACAAAGGGCTTGGGAGGGTGAGGTGGGGGGTGGGGGGGGATTATGTCAACTCCCAACTTAACTCATAGTCATACAAGATACTAGACACCCAGTTACAAAGATGACTCAGGTAAACAGACATGTTCCCAAATGACGACCAAAAAATTACATTACAGTCCTTAATAAACCATTTGCTCCACGAATCCTAAATTTTTTCAACTTGGAATGATCATGAACCTTTGGACGCCACCTGTTTGAGGACATTCATGGGTTCCCCAAGTCAAGTCTCAAGACACTTTAATGGTACTGTAGGTCAGGAACTGGAGAGTTTGCTGTTATAATGCTATTGTTTAGAACCTAAACTTAAGTTAAAAATTAGCTGTTAGATGTTTTCTGAACTAGCAGGATGTATGGATCTCATCTACACAAGATGTGTCCTAGTATTGATGTTACCGTGTGATGTGATGTAACTGGTTTCTGTTTCATCCTGACCAGATTCAGAAAGTGATGTAACTGGTTGACCCCCAGGATTCCCCACACAGTCAAATCTCTGTTCACCTCTGGGCTCAATTTAAAATTAGAAGGAATTGTAAGTAGGATTTAGGTCATGTGTTTCAGCTATTTAGACTTAATGGTAAAGAAAAGTCATTTTCACAAAAACAGACACTGCCATTAGATTTTAAGTAAATGAACTAAATCTGTTCAAGTTTAATTGCAAAAATTGCAATAAAAGCAAAAATTTGGCAGCTAGCATTGTTATTTTGACTAAATAAAAAAGGTCATTTTCTGAAGCCCAAATTCACGGTATGCATCTCAAATAACTTCGAAAGGCTCGTTAATGAAAATACTGGAAGTGGCTTGATCGATCCCATTTAGAAACACCATGTTTTACAGATGTTTCTGCCAAGACAATTCCTGCCCTCTCGATTCTGAGGAAATGCTAATCAATTAGTGAGGGATTTGGCAGGGTAATGAATAAAAGCATCGCTGCTTGAAATCAGTTCGGGGTATCTGGTATCCAGGTTCCCCTTCTATATTGATCCATTTCTGTGGATGAAGAAGGTGACATTCAGTGAAAATCTGTACTGTGTCTTTAAATCAGGAGAGAAGAGAGAGAGAGGGGGGTAGAGGGAGATGGAGAGCAAGGGAGATGAATAGAAGGCACTAGAAGCAGACCGTTTATGAGCCGAAAGCACGGCTGAAATGTGATAGAAAAACCAGCAGAGATACTTGGAAGATCGGGCTGTGGTGCTGCCTCTGTACTGCGCTCTCAGCGCTGCAGAGCTGGGCGTTCGGGGGCCGTTTTTCCAGCCCCGGATGATGGCGATCAGACAACGGAAGAAGACCGAATGACAGTTCCCTTCTAAGCGGCCCAGTGACCCTGAGGCAGGGACGAGTTGCCGAGGAACTACTTTGTTTTGCTCTCTCGCATCCCTTTCTGGTGGTCACCCACACACTGGGGTCTGTGGCCCCCTTGCTGGGATACCTCCTCCCTCCACATCCCCCCACCCAGGGGGATTTTTGCCTCTGTCGCCGGAGAGAGGAACGAAGGGACGAGGCCGACGTGGCTGGCGCATCGCTGCCTCCCTGCAGCCCGGGCAATGAGCTTCCCGTAGCAGGGAGCCGCGGGAAGTAACAGGGCCTGCCGGGAGGGGGGGGCCCGGGCGGGGGGGGGATGCGTGCCAGTGGGGGGGGACGGGGAGCAGCAGCAGCGACGACAGCGGCAGGCCGAGGGCGAGCTCACCGGCTCCCTCTCCCCCTTCTCCTCCGCCCCTGCAGGACCATGCGCTTGTGAGGGATGGGGCGCCGCACCCGGAGCCCAGGCCTGAGCCACGGCCTACCTCCCCCGACCGGGGCCAGGCCCACCACCACCGGAACCGGGAGCGCTTCGCCACCATCCAGTCAGCACCTTTGGTAAGGCCTGAGCCTCCTCTTCCTCGCCGTCTTCCTCCCTGCCGCCCCGCTGGCAAAAAGAAAAGCGTTTTCTCTCCGGTCTCCCCGGCGCTCTCCTTGTCGGTTGTCATGGCAACCCCATCTCGTTACAAACAGCCGCCTCTCTCGACCCCCCCCCCCCCCCCCCCCCCCCCCCCCCCCCCCCCCCCCCCCCCACAACATTGTCTAAGATAAGTAAGTAGAATATGGATGGATGGATGGATGGATAATCAAATGTCACAAAGTGCAGATAAATANCCCCCCACTCCTCCATCATCTCTCATCATATTTTAATCGTTAATCTCGGTGATGTGAAGGCTTTGCGCTGAGGTGCGATTCGTGTGTCACGCATCGGTTATTTTTTGCCGTGTGCCTGAAATCACGCCGCGTGACATTTCCATGTAGCGTACGACTGACCTGCGGGTGGTTTCTTTACCGCCTGATTTCCCCTTCTCTGCAGTTTATGTGCATGTGTCTCAGTACGTGTGCCTGTGTTTGCCTGTGATGTCAGTGCCTGGCTTGCATTTATGTGTGTGTGCGTGTTTGCGTGTAAGTGCGCCAACCAATTTGCATGTAGGGTGATGCCAGGCAGGGGCGACATCCAGGCGTGATACTGTAACATCGTATCGTAATGTGTGTGCGTGAATTTGGTGCGTGCCTGTCCACACGTTCCAGGGGCCGTGAGTGAACGTTACCCCATGCTCTACCCTGATTAGCATCATCAGTGCTAAAGTCATGTCATGGATCATGTGTGCATGATCGCCTGCTGCTGGACTACAGCTCATTATATGTTGCCATTTTACAGAATCTGCTTCCTCTCTTTGGCGAGTCCTTAAGTTTAGACACTGTTGGGTGACAGTCTTCATGCTGGAGAGTCAGGCTGATTCAGTAATGATGTTCCTCACGCTGGAGGAAGGAATGTAGAAATGAACCGACAATTACAATCTGAGTGTCCCTCTACATATGACCCCCAGGCAGCGGTGTTCATGTTACAGGCAGAAAGTCTGAGACATTCCACAATGTTCCAGAATGCAGCAACCAAATGCCACGTACAGTCTGCCCCATAAAGTCAAAAACATCATTTGTATGAAGATAATAAACTGTTTCCGATTGTCAGAACTTAGCTGGATTCGTCTTCTCCACCCCCCTCCAATCCTCACTGAATTCTGGAATAATTCTCCCAGAAATCAGTTCTGGCAGCTTGGAAACTTGGCCTGCTAGGTCATTGGAGTTTTCTAGATGAGGAGTGATGGAAAATGGTCAGGGGGAATATTTTTGTGATGGAGAAGATCTTTAAATCAGAGCAATTTTGACATTAACTCATTCTGTCACATAGAGACATGATGCTATTGTTATTTTTGACAGTTCTGTGAAGTTTACCTTATTAGAATTTACTAGTATTGCCTCAACCAAAACTTATAAAATTACTTTAGGTCTGCCTTTGACGTGAGCCAGACATCTCACATTATTGTTTTTTATAGTGAGTGTAATTGTATCCTAATATTAAATAAGTTGCTGAAGCTGTAGCCTTTGATCTGAAAGTGTTTTGTTGAATTATTCTTGTATATTTATCTGCACTTTGTGACATTTGATTATCCATCCATCCATCCATCCATATTCTACTTACTTATCTTAGACAATGTTGTGGGGGGGGGGGGGGTGGAATTTAGTCACTCTATTTATTGGAAAATTCTCATTGTCAAAGGTTTTGTTCAATGTGCATGTGTGTTAGGATTAAGTTTAGAGTTGGACATATGGTTAGGATTAAGTTTATGTTCATATATTCAGTTGTGGTTGTTGAACATTTTGCTCAGTGTGTATGTGTGTGTGAATCTGCATGTGGAGATTCTGCACATACATCTTGCTAAACGTTATTCCACCCATTAAAATCCAGAATGAAAACCCTCAGGCCAGTTTGCAGTAGCTATGAGGAACATCCAGATTTTTTGGATGCTGTTAGGAGGCACTTGTCCACCAGGTCTTAACCTTTGAAAGCTGACCCCCAGGTTACGAGGCAGATCCAGGAGCATGAGCAGGACAGCGAGCTACGAGATCCGATGTGGGGCTTCAAGCGGATGCGGCGGCAGCACCAGAAGCAGCTGATGGCGTTGGAGAACAAGCTGAAGGCTGAGATGGACGAGCACCGGCTCCGTCTGCAGAAGGAGGTGGAGACGCACGCCAACAACGCCCACATCGAGCTGGAGAAGCTGGCCAAGAAACATGCTCTTCAGCTGGACAAGGAGGTGAGTGACCCTACTTGGCATCTCGTGGACCCACACAGGTGGTATCAGGTGTCCAGATCTGAACCACACTCTGAAATCAAAGCAGTATTTGATTCCTTCAAGCTGGCGAATCCTCTGCCCCCTGAAAAAAACGTCCTGAGAGAAGGTCAAGATTAAGTGCAGGAAATTGTGCTACTTAAAATTTTGTCCCAAAATTGGAGCTCCTAAGACAGCTGCTGGTAAGATGAGGTGCACATACTCATTCCTTTCTGGCTCCACTTTCATTCCCTCCCTACCTCTAGACGAAGGCGGCAGCTGCTGATGAAAAGAAGTTCCAACAGCAGATTATGGCCCAGCAGAGGAAGGAGCTGACCACCTTCTTGGAAAACCAAAAGAAACAGTACAGACTCTGCAAGGAGAAGATCAAAGAGGCTAGTGCTGTTTACTAGTTCTCCTGGAATCATGGGTCACTGTTCTTGTGTTTGTATGTGCATGGACTCAGCCATTATAGACACTAGTTGTTTTTTAGACTCTTGTTCCACACCAGAAACACTAGCAGTGGGCAGCGTTTGTGCCCTTGCACCTGGAGACACAACATAGGCTGCAGGGTGTTGGATTATGGTTTTTTCTTCAAACGCCAGTGTTTTGTTAGCAATGCCATGCTAACAGATTGTACTGGGGTCGTCCTTATTTATGCTCTCAGATGCTGCTGCCTGGATCCCAGGTCTGCTTTGCCCATCAGTTATCAGCTTAACTGACCCATGTTGTCAGTGTGATCGAGATTCTTCTGTTATAACTTCCACTCTGTCTGCTTTATTATTTCATTAGTCATTGTAATCAGGCATCTCAAAGGAACGCAAGTGACCATTGAGTTCATAGTTGTAGTATTTACAGAGATCGTGGAGGTGCTGCATATTGGACCTTCCCCTGAATACTCGGCTGTGGGCAGAGGTGGATAATTCAGGTCCAGAGTGTAAAAATCCAGACCAAGATTTTGATTCAACCAACCAGTTGAGTATAAGGAGTCGCAGACACAGAGTTACTCAACTGGTTGGTTGAAACAAAATCTTGGTCTGGACTTCTCTCTCGACCTGAAATACCCACCTTTGGCTGTGTGTCTAAGCCTTGTGCCCTTGATTCCACTCTTCCTTGGTATTGTGACTTAGGAGATGAGTGAGGACCACAGCACACCCAAGAAGGAGAAGCTGGAGAGGTTGTCCAAGCACAAGGAGACCATGCAGCATTCCCAGGCCGAGGAGGAGGCTCAGCTGCTGAGCCAGCAGAGGGTGTTCTACGAGCGCAACTGCCGCGCCTTCAAACGCAGGATTCTCAGCAGGAAGCACGAGTTCGAGCAGGAGCAGATGAGAGAGGCAAGACTACAGCTTCATGTCAATGTTAACTCTGATGTAATAGTATAATTAAAATTAATTAATCACGCAGTGTCATTATTTTTGGATCTTTTCTTTCAAGATTTATCTACCTGCTGCCACAATGAGTAATTTCAAGCCTAATTTTGTTTGTTCTCCCGGTCTTGCTAGATATTTAATTGTATATCCATATGCACTCCCAGTCAAAAGTTTGGACACACTGACCCATAGAAAGGTTTATTTATACTGTTCTGTACATTTAAAAATGATTAGAATAATGAAGATAATAAACAATTAGAATAATAAAGACATTAACACTATAAAATAACATATATGTAATTATGCACTGACAAAAAGTATATAAAAAATATTTACTTGTTGGGGCAGTTCTGTGGGTTGGGACTCAGAAGGTTGCCAGTTCAAATCCTGTGATCAGCAGAGTGATCCCACCATTGGGCCCATGAGCAAGACCCTTAACCCCAGTTGGTCCAGGGACTGGCTGACTCCACTGTCTCCTCTAACCAGTTCCATGAGGCAGCCTCCTGGGATGCTTCTCCAGATGTCCTGAAGGAGGTCCCACATATATGCTGAGCACTCATTGGACGCTTTTCCTTCAGTCTCTGGTCAAACTCCTTCAAAACATTTTTACTGTGATTAGGTTAAGTGACCAGGTCGCATAATGTGACACTCTGTCACTCTCCTTTGTAGACAACTTGGCGTGTCCAAACTTTTGACCGGCACTGTAGATATCAGGGTTTTAGCTAGCTCATCATTTTATATCAATATTAAAGTATAGTTGGCCATAATGAATGGCAGGAGTCAACAGTGTTCTCCTGTGTTCTTGGCTGCAGGAACTGAACAAGAAAAAGTCCCAGAAGGAGATGGAGCACGCCATGCTAATCCGGCACGATGAGTCCACCCAAGAGCTGGAACAGCGGCAGCTGCATATCCTGCAGAAGCTGCGTGTGGACCTCATCCAGCTGCAGCACCAGACGGAGCTGGAGAACCAGATGGAGTACAACAGCCGCCGGGAGCGCGAGCTGCACAGGAAGCATACCATGGAGCTCCGACAGCAACCCAAGAACCTGAAGGTCTCAAGCATTAGCATCAGTGTCCATCATTAGCATTTAGCATTACCCTGTCGTATTACGAGATAAAGAGTATAAAATGAATTCAAAAATATGAGTATCTCACTTTCAAATACAATTCTGTGCTTGATGAGTAAGAACTGATAGGGCTCCTACAGGGTATCACTAATGGTACGTTTCTCTGAATTAGCTTATAGCTGTCTATCCTTGTGCTAGGCTTGCCAATGTGACGTGTTAGCCCAGCTTTTAGTATATTGTTTATGAAGAAAAGTAATGGAACTTCGAACACCCCTGCCTCTATTTCTTACAGACTTTGGAGATGCAGATTAAGAAGCAGTTCCAGGATACATGCAAGGTACAAACCAAGCAGTATAAGGCCCTGAGAAGCCACCAGCTGGAGGTCTCCCCCAAGAGCGACCACAAGGCCATCCTGAAGTCATTGAAAGAAGAACAGACGCGCAAGCTTGCTGTGCTGGCGGAGCAGTACGAGCAGAGCATCAACGACATGATGGCATCGCAGGCGGTGAGCAGGGAACTGAATACACTACATCAGGCCAATACCTGTTCCAATGCAGTAAAGAACATTTAAGTAACTCTAGGCCTCGATCGCATTCCCAATAGTACACCTAGTAGGATATGATTGTATTCTGATGGTGGTTTCTGGTTTGGTACTGGTTTGAGGTCTTCCAGTTGATGCTACCAATGTTCAGCAGTCAGATGCATCATTTAAGTACCTTAGACTAGTTTGGTTGTCCCCAGAAAGCCTAAGTCTAATCCATCTCACTAACTGGATGAACAGGTTCGGCTGGGTGAATCCCAAGAAATGGAGAGCCAAGCACTGAAGCAGCAGCTCCAGCAGGAGATGGAACTACTGGATGCCTACCAGGGCAAGGTCCTCATGCAAGCCGAGGCACAGCACAAGCTAGAGAAGCAGAAACAGGAGCAGCAGGCATCGATCCGCAGGACCCATCTCGAGCAGAAGGTGGGTGGGCTGCCTCGGAGCATCTGCTTCTTCTATGCTTCTTTCTTGGGTTGAGAATCACTGATTATTCCCAACCCAACGCAAACATCGTCACGACTGATAGTACTAAAAGGTAACTGGGACATAGAGACCCCCATTGCAATGAGAACTACAACACATAAGCTTGAGTCATTTTAGGAACCAGTAGGTAAAGATAGGTGGGAGGGCAGATGCAACCTGTGGTTAAGGAATCATACTTGTCACTGAAAGACTAGTTTCACATACTAGGACCTTATGTTGCATTTTTGAGTGCAGTAGTTGAGCGAGCCTTCAGTAGGACATCCAGCTATATGAATAGGTGAACCGTAGCAGGCTGGCTCTTTAAGTGTGGCAGTGTGACACGTGGCCGGCCGGGCAGGGTTTATCGGGTTGGGCTGTCTCCGGTTTCAGATCGAGGAGGAGTTGGCCGCGCTTCAAAAGGAGAGCACGGAACGGGTGAAGCACCTGCTGGAGCGGCAAGAGAGGGAGGTCAGTGCTTTCGACACCGAGAGCCTCCGCCTGGGCTTTGGGAGCCTCAGCACCCTGGACGTCCCCATCGAGGACAGCAGATGAAACCAGACTCGCCGCTAGCGCCTTGTCTGCCCCTCCTCACCCAGGGGCTGATTCCCCGCCCTGTTCTCTCCTCTCACCTTCCCACCGGACTGCTTATGGGCCAACCTCAACTGTTGCCATCTGCTGCCCCCACCCTCACCTCCAGCCAAATCCCGTTCCACCCCCCACCCCCCCCCCCACCGAGTCAAGATGCTGGATTAGTCCCTCCGTTGTCTTTAAACCCAACGTCGTGATGTCGGACATGTCTCGTGCAATTACAGCGATTCTGGGCGGTCAAACTGGTTGAAAGGTGAAAGCACCAACAATTGTGGATGGGCGTTGCTTTGAGATCAAGCACCGGCGACAACATGCTTGACAAAAAGAAAAAAAAAAAACACAAAAGTATTTCGACTTTAAGACACTTGCAGCCATATCTTCTGAGCTGCTCCACTTTTGATAGGTCATCAGGAAATTTTTATTAGGGTCGAGCAATTTGATATGTTTAAATATGATCTCTTTGTGTGTGCATTGGTATTTCAAAGAGGTTAACACAGAAAAAAATACGGCTGGGGGCTAATGCCCAGAAATTGGCTATGTTAAATTCCGTTTCACCCATGAGAGTAAATACCTGTTTCAACACCATACCCAAGTCCAAGATGCTAAAGACTTGGTTTGGTCCTGGTATTTTTATTGCAAGAGAGGTTTAAAAGGAACTTTTTTTTTATTATTATTATTTTCATATACGTCTTTAATTGGTCAGCAGAATTTTGAAGTGCTTTTTAAATTTTTTTTGGCTTTTTTTGAGTTTTGTTGCTCAGTGTGATGTTCTATTTGAAGTAACATCTAGATCATTATCACAGGTTTAGCCACTTTTGAGCTGTGTATTTTCTTACAATGCTCATAAACTCATAAAATGCTTCATTGTTGCATGCACTTTAAAGAAAATTCAGGTTACAGAGAGAAGCATGAATCTGTCAGAAGTTTTAATTCTATATTGTAAATAAACATGCTCACAGCGTTTTTTCGTTTCCCCGATAGCTAACAGTATCTTGCGTTCATGCCGTATTTGATATGACACTTGAGATTTTTAACAATCTTTATTTGAGATGTGCCTATGGATTGGTTTGTTTTTGATTAACAAAGCCAACATTGTTCTTTGTTACGTTAACAGCCAACATTGTAAATGATTTAATGTTGAATGTCGTTGGTGTCACCCGGTAACCATCACTGTTGTAATGGCAGTGACCATTGTACTGGATGTAAAATATTTTGATAAATATTTGTAATTAATTACCTAAACACGCGAGCCAGAAGCAGGGGTCATTCATGTAATTGTTGTCAGCTCAAAGTCATTGTAAAGAAGTGCTGTTAATGTTTGGTATTTAATTACATTAGTGAACAAGGACTCAGTGCACAGAACGCATTTCTGAGAGCAGAACTGAAAAACACCCGATGTAGTAAATAGGATGCTAGTTTTGTCAGTGGTCAAAATACAGTAGCTGATTTCTCTTTTGTATCTTTGGATAACATTCTGAGACATTTTCTTTTCGTGACTCAGGCGGGTGAAAGTTGATGTGGCTCTGAGGCAGTTATTAGGAGGTAAAAGTCCAGATTGGCAGAAACTCCAGCACCAAGTTATTTGAAGCGCTGGGCATTTTTGAACTGCTGAACGTGTTTATATTTTCAAAATCAGCACGTGACCAGCAGCTGAGTCCTCGATACCAGTATTGATGTTCAAGCCCTTTATAGTCATACACCGACACTCCACCAGAGGGAGGTGCAGAATAATGTTGTAATTTGGGCTACTAGTGTGCCAACCGATTCTTGGGACCACCTGTTTATACCCAAAAATCAATGATCCTTGTGCCACTTGGGTTGTGGGGGGGTGGGGTGGGGTGGGGGGGAGAGGGGTTCTGGAATGCTGCTAGTTTTAGCCCATGCACATGTTTGTTGACTGTTTGAGAAGATTTTTGATATTTTTGGCCAACCCATTCAAAGTCCCATATGGGCTCATTTACTCACCAGAGCACAGAACATACAACAAACTAATGGAGAAACTCCATATTATCCCCGTAAACTGGGGGAAACAATGGACTCTACTGGCCTGTGTTGGAGCAGCCTGACCCACTGCATTCTTCTTGGAGTGGTGGTTTGGGATTTATGAGCTTGTTTCTCTTTCCTCATTAGTTCTTAGTTTCTTTACCCGCCAGAATGCTCTTAACCGCACTGGCAGCAAGTGGGTCTTGCGGCTGGGTTCTTAGAGTCTTTGTCAAACTGCCTCTTGACATTTGACCTTTAACCCTTTGGCATGCCGGATGGGAAATTGCCTGATTGTGCCTGTGGATCTCATTGTCGTAGGAAAGCCTGAGCTGGTTGCTATTGCTGCTGTGTCTGTGGTCTCGGATGCTAAATAATGCCAACTGAACGCTGCCCTTTGTTCTAGAACAGTCTCCTTAGGGCCTCTTCTCAGAGCGACCCATAGATTATTTCACACGCCGTTTTTAACAATTATTTATTAGTATTATTAATATTATTGCTATTTTGATATTTCAGTATTCCTTCATGATCCACACCTCTTTTTGGCTATTTTTAGTTGTTCTATTTTGGGTCTGTAACACAAATGCGAGACGTTCGTCTTTGTGGGTATGAATCAGAGCCACGGGTTCTGTGATTGGAGCTGAAGTCATGTCACTCCCCTGGCAATGAGTTAGACACCAGGCCTCATTGGGAGATCAGGCTCACTAAACATCTGCCTTTCCCATTCCATGCTCATTTTGCTTTTGAATGAAGGTGGTTTGGACAGTTATAAATCATATGCTATTACCTGTCCATATAACTGCCTTTTTTTGGCTAAAGCATTTTACGTGATTTTTCTTGCTCAGGCCTACAGCAGTGGCCCATCATCTTGGACTCAGTTTGTGCTCTATGGCCAGCTTTGTCCACAGACGTCCATCTTTGACCATCCGTGCCACCTTCCGCCCTCAGGACAGCTAGAAACAGCTTACATAAGACGGCTGTTTCCTGTCTGGCAGCTTTAGCTTTGTGGGACAAGTGTGTAAGCAAAGTGGTGGAAATTCTGACTCATGAGTCATTCAGAGATCCGCTTGCATCCCTCGAAAGAGCCGGATGTCCTTTGAAACTGGGCCCCCATTTCTTTTGATTATGATCCTAGGGTTCCAGATGTACAAGGATAATGTGATTGGTCGAGTATTTGCATCTGCTTTTAAACGGAGTTGAAACCAAGTGGTATTCTAAACAAAAAAAAAATCACTGAAAATGTATATTATTAAGTCAGGATAATCCCTGAATGAGTTCCTCTGTGGCACTGTTAAAAAACAGTGTCATGTTAAAGTGCAATGAATGTGATATATACCTATAAATAAATAAATATATATATATATATAAATATATATACACACACACATATATATATATTTTTGTCCATGATAGTGTGGGGAATGTAAATGGAGCTCTTAGAAATGCTCAATATTTTCTCTTAATCGATATGTTTTTAATTTCAGGTTTTTATCAGGTCTGTTATTCCCTGCATAATTAATTTAAAGAATTGCAGAGTAAAGCTTAACAAATGAATGGAAATATAAAGAGTCTTACTTTAATGAGTAATAATTTATAAACTGATTTGTGACCCAGCCCCCTTATTAGTGAACTGGTTAACTGTGACTGGCTGACTTTTTCTTCCTCTTTTTTTTTTTTTTTTTAAAAAAAAAAAACAAAAAACAAAAGGTGCAATATTATCTATTAGATATATGGATTTATTATGAACATTTCATTTACTGTGCAAGACACAATTCTAGATTGTACAAGATGAAGGCGAGAAAATATTATTATTACTGAGATGCAGAGTGAAATATGAGTTCTTTTGGGTGCTGTATTTTGAAGACTAACATTGTAACAGGAAGGTTGTTGTATATGTGGTGCTGTATTCAATAAAAGGCATAGAATTTGACAAAAGACCATGTTTGTGGCCCCTTGTTTTCCTGGCCAAGTCGACGCCTCATTGAAGTGCAGACAGCTTGACCTTATGCCCTCTCGGCTAACCAGGTGAGTGGTTGAAAATGGGACAGTCAAGCAACAATGCATGAAGGAAGAACATGCGATCGCTTGAATATGCAGGAGAGCCAGCTAAAAAAACTTTTTTTTTTTTAAAAGTCACAGATATTTAAGAAGTTTGCAGTGCAATCTGGTCCTGCACCATAGGCTACCAACTTATACATATTCACAAATTATAATGTTAATATAAAATCCAGTTGTTTTGATAGAATGTGTGTTGGGAGGATGGCTGATTTTTATAGCTGTGTTATTTTATTTTATAGCTGTGCTATTTCCCTTAATGTTTTAATCCAGCTGCGTTTGGCACAATGACAGTTCACATATAAATAGTACAGAGTCTATGATGGTCCATGTTACGATATTTTGATTTTATGATGGGTAAATGTTTTTCACTTTCAGTACATTATTCAATAAATTACATGAGATATTCAACATATTATTTTAAAAGAGGCCTTGTGTTAACGATTTTTCTCAACTATAGGCTAATGTAAGCGTGCTAAGCTTGTTTAAGGTAGGCTAGGCCATGATTTTTGTTAGGTTGGGTGTATTACAGTATATTAAAATGCATTTTTGCCTTACGATATTTTCTCTTTACGATAAGTTTATAGGAACCTAACTCCATTGTAACCTGGGGAGAGGCTGTATAACCAAACAGTCCCTGTTTGTCATGCTGTTTGTTAAGAAGGGGCTGTTCAGAGGGGAGGAGGGGAGGGGAGGGTAGGCAAATAGTTTTGCGCTTGATAAATCCACTCGTTCCTCGATGGGTGAGGGCAGTGTTTCCCAACCTGGTCCTTGGACAGCCCACATTTTCGTTCTCTCTCAGCTTCCAGCACTCTCATACCAGGCTTGATTGCCTGGGAGCTGGGAGGGAGCAAAAACAGGTACTGTGGGGCTCCCTGAGCACCGGGTTGGGAAACCCTGTCTTAGACAAATGTTTGGATCCATTCTCCTCTTTCCGCAATCCTGTCTGCAGTCCAGCTGCTGTGCCGACTGCTTTTTTTTTCTTACTAGTAGTTTGGAATAAACCATATTCCGCACAAGCCCATCCTGAATATCCTGGCAGGAGTAAGCACGCCCCCTGCTGGTTCTCTTCTAGTCTTTGTGGAAATTAGTTTTCCTTTTTCTTCCTGGATGCTGTTCAACCTGCCACCACACAACCCATGTTTCCCCTTGAGCGGGACATGGTTTCCTCCCGATAAAGACCCGGTTCTGTTGCCGCCCGAAGCGTAGCCACCTTTCCACCGTGCATCCAGAACCGTGGTTCTGAGCCCCGAGTCAAGTTCTCTCTCCCTAAGGCCCAAACATCTGACTGTTCACGGCACTCCAAAAAAAAAAAACCCTTCAGGGTCAGTAGATGTGCCAGAGTCTGCAAGAAAGAAAAGGGGGGGGGGGGCGGGACTTTCCTCAGCAGACTGCTCAGCACTTCCTGTGTCTGGGGCACCTCGAACCTGCTTCCAGTGCAGCTCGCATGTTCGTGCGAATTCGCTTGAAGCTGTACATTCCGCTATGCATTAAGAAAGCAGTGAACAGTAATTAGGGTGCAATTGATATATGACTGATTACTAAATGCCTATAAAACAATCAATGAAACATCTGCAAATAAATCAATGAATTGCATGAAGGGCTACCTGGTGTGTTTTCTCAAAAACATAGGAGAAGCGTAGCACTGAGCTGAAATACTGGAAACGTTGTGTGTGTGTGTGTGTGTGGTGGTGGGGGGGGGGGACTCAGGCATGGGTTTCTATAGTTATCCACCCACTTACTCCGTGTGTCTCCCTCCCCTGCCGAACCTTGTTTTGTTTGGTCTGTGGGGCACCTCGGACTCCCCTGCCCCCTGCCCCCCTGCCCCCCGCCCCGAAAAGGGAAAGGTCACTGATAAAGGGTAGCTTTGCTTTTTCAGATCCACCCTCCATCACATGCTTCTGTCCTTCAGCTGAACCGTGCCACACCCAAAGGACCAGGCCTTCCTCCGGAAAAATAAAGGTTCATCAAAACACTTGTATCTGCAGTCTTTGGCTGTAATGATGCCAAGAAAGTTTCTTTGAATTTAACTGAAAATGAGGTGAGGTTTGGCAGGAAGTAGGGCAACTCTTGTCTTCCCCCCTCCAAGGTCTGATGCTTTCCTGTGCTTTGCTGCTGTCTCTCTGTTACTCTGTAAGTCCCAGGGCTTTGATCTGGAGCCATCCGGGGGGGGCGGGGGGGGCTGGGGTCATGGCTGTGCTGTGGCGTGCTTTTGCAGAAACCCGGCCACAATTCAGGCCACTGGGTGAGACAGCCAGATACCTGAAAGCAGCTTGGAAAGCACCCCGCTGCCCCCTCCCTCGATGGTGAAAATGAGAGAGCCGGATCTGGACGCGTTCCTCTGCTGATAGGGCAGCTGTGGAATTCCCTCCCCTGTGACTGGCTGCTGCTCGTGTTGCAGTGTTAAGACGACTTCATCCTGGAACACCATGTCTGTCAGGTTAGTGTCTTATAATGATTCATGGAGGAGGAAGGAAAATGCTATATGCTGAAGGCAGTGACGGTTCTGGCTTGTTTGACACCCTGGGTAAAATCTGAGTGAGCTGTACTGTCATGCCGTCATGCAGGCGCCCTGTTGGACCCCATGAACGATGCCGGCCTGGGAAACTGCACGTCTTGCCCTGCACAAGCCCATCCTGAAAACCTGCCAGCAGTAAGCACGCCAAACAGTGTGAACCAGAAATATATTCCCAGGCTTTGTTTTGGGCCTATAAGAGCCAATGTAATCCACTGAAGGTCTTATTAGACCTGATTAATTCAAAGACAAGAAATACCACCTTAAAAGGAAATGTTCTTTTAGATCTATAAGATATTCTACATCCGGCCAATTAGATATGTCTGCTGCTGACGTTTGCTGAGGATCTGCTTATCTTGTATCTGTGACACAAATACAGAGCCACTTTGCCTGGTGGTTTTAGGGATGCTATAATTGAAACATAACAGGGCGAGGCCTCAACGACAAAACTGACCTCAAACGAATTTCACATGGCAAACCAGACACTCATATTTGGGAAATTACCTGAGGTAAGTTATACATACCCTTCTGAAGAATTAGCATCATGCACATAACTAGGACTTAAAAAAAAAAAACTTTTTTTCATGCTGTAGTCTTCACTTTGACTGAAAGCCACAACAATGATTACCAGGAAAGCTCACAGCCTGACTGAAAATCTCCGAATGCCACCAGCCTCTTTTTTCAATCGCATGTGTTTTAATTTCAGTTAAGTTTTGTTTTGTAAGAAAAGGCGCTTCAAATAAATGTGTCAAACGCCCTGCAGCAGCAATCATGAAGACATTGCACAGTGGCTAAAGGACTGAACCAGAAGTTCTGCAATTCCTCCCTCAAACAAAAACAGTTCTCCTGGATTTCCCCAACAGACGAATAGGTGCATCAACAAGCATCAAGGCGGCCTTAGCAGTGAAATATGTTACAGTGTGCAAATGATCCTGTTGCTTATTTTCACACCAATGTCCATGAATAGCGGGAAACCATTGCTATCAACCATGAAACTGTGAATGCGCGATGACATTTAGCAGGGCGTTCATGGTTTCCCTTGTCGCTCGTTCCATGCCGTGTGAAAGGCTGCTTGGGCATAATCACCTTCCATTATGCATCTCTCGTTTATCATTTTGGCTGCTGATGCAACATTTGCACAGTTTCTGAATGCTAAAAATATGTTTTTGTACTTAACTGCACAATTTTATGTCTTGTTTAAAGTTTATATTTATAGTTTATTTATATATGTGTAATGTGCCTTTTTTTGTAAACCGTAAAACTTGGAGCCACATCGTCTGGTTCAAATGTATTCATGTATACAGCTGAGATGACGATAAAGTTGACTGGCTTCTAGACAGTGCCACAACCTGCACGATACCTGGAGCCTGTCTTGCAACAAAAAACTCCTTCTGCCCCCAAAATGGCAGTTTTCTACCTTTTTTGAGCTCACTGTCCCATTTCTGCTCAATCCCCTCCTCACTAGCAAGGTTTCACTAAAAGAACAAAAACGTTGCCATTTTACATCATTCTCCAGGTCAAACTAGGTGACACGGAGTCTTAGTGAAGAAATTATGTTACACTTTTCTAATCTTCCGTTTTAATTGAGGAACATGGCTACTGTAATTGTTGTGAATTGGAGTGTAAGAATGTGATCTTGAGTAAAGTGGCTCTTCGCGTCTTTAAATTAATAACCAAAGAGTGTGCAAATATTCTATCCTTTCTTGTAATAGCTGCGCCTTCTAAAATTAATTTTAAAAGGTGCCACTATTAGTAGCGTTTTAGCTTAGGTCAGTGTTACCTTGCTTGCAGGACTGTAAAGTCTCTGTGATATTTTTATTTAGCTTTAAGCATTTGGAACAGTTGCTGCAAATGTTTCCTCATGGTAAAGAACCATTTCTAGATGACCACACAGCCATAGGCATGAGATGCCCAGCGTCCTGTGACGTTCCTCTTTGCGTGTGATGACGTGACTCTAATACAGTATCCTGTTGTGAAAGTACTGCAGGCAGCAGGGGTTAACGGGTTTGCTCAAGAGCCTAGCAGTGGTGTGATTACTCTGATCCGATGGCTTTCCAACCCACAACCTTTCAGACACAGATCCATCCATCCATCCATCCATCTTGAACCTAATTCTCCTGCTGATGGTCACAGTTAATAATTATTTTTTATTATCCGTGACCCTGTTCTGGATAACTGGCTGAAAGATTAATGGACAGATTAGTTTTATTTATGTTCATGCTAAATAATCCAGCTAATACAGACTGCAGAATCTCAAACATACCCACGTCACTGACCGTACACATGTCTCCAAAACATTATTAACCTCCTGCAGATGAATATTGTGCTCTGAATTTGGGCGAAACCGCCAGTCGGTTGTTGACTGATGCATAGAAGGATGGGTGGAGACAAGTTGAGGTGGGGTTTGTCCATAAGGATGGAGGGGAGTGAAAGTCGTGGTACAAATGTAGCAATGCAATTCTCAGAAGTATTGCTCCACATCCAGATTACTGCGTCATTTCCTCTTATGACAAATCTGAGGTTAGACTTAAAAAGTTTTTGCGCGGCGCCGATCATGAGTAGTTACTGCCGAACGAGCCGGTGTCACCACATGCATGATGCCAGGTCATAGTTACCATCTGGTCCCAAGTGCTCAGCAAGCTGTAGGTAAGTACCATTAGGCAATACAGCCCTGGTCATACCATCATAGCCTAGAGCTGGAAGCCAGGAAGTCTGGTTTGGATGGTGAATATGTGTGTGTGTGTGTGTGTGTCTGTCACTCTGTCTGCTCGAGCCCATGCGTGCGTGTGTGACGCTGCCGGCTGCTGTGTCGGAAACGAACTTGCATGCTTCGCCGCTGACCATAGCCTGGTGCTGGTGTTTCAGAGTTGGATTCCTTACACTGATCGTCAGGTGTCCGGCTCCTAGACTTTCAGTGGTTTGCTGTTAGCGCTCCGCTAGCAAGCAACATCCCCTCATTCCATCTACCAGTCGGCACCACTCTGTGGTCCCTGAACGCTCACTAGTGTTGTGCTTTGTCTTGTGATTTGAATAGATGTCTTATTATGTTCCCGCTATGTTTGAAAGGTGTTGTATAGCTCTTGCCCCAGTGCTGCTTACACTTGTGACTGAGCATTCACTGGAATCTCAGCCTAGCCGTGTTCACACCTAGCTGACTGCAGCTGTATGATTGTGATGTGCTGTGTACCTCATTTGCAGAGGTGTAGATTTCAGGTCCAGAAAGTACAGATCCAGACCAAGTTTTTGTTTCAACCAACCAGTTGAGTACTCTATGACTGTGATTCTTTATACCCAATCGGTTGGTTGGAACAAAATCTTGGTCTGGATTTGTACTCTCTGGACCTGAAATCTCCACCTCTGCTCATTTGTATGTTGCTGTGAGCAAAAACATCTGCTAAGTAAAGAAATTTAGGTGTTTGCATAGTTCAATATATTGAATATTTCTAGTAAGCTTTAAATGTCGATTATTACTAATGATATTAAATATAGGTGTAGTTAGGTCTAGCATCTACTGCCTTGATTGAAAAAAATGAAATGATACAGTGTGGTAAAAGAAGTATCCTTGCAGTGTTTGTAACCTTAACATCTTCGTGTTCTTCACAGCTTTGTGGTTGGTTCTGCTGGTCTACATCAGTAGGGCTGCTGCATCTGGCAGCAAAGCAAACTCTGATTTACTGAAGAGCATTTCTCTTGCTGATCTAATGAGGAAGGACGCTGGGGAACTCCGCAGAACATATGTAAGTATGCATCTTCCATAGCGCTGGATATGGCAGCTGGGGCTCTCATTTTCCTAAGGGCCAGTCACCAGCTTTATAACTGCTACAGTGACTGTCACAGAATAACCCATGAAAGCAGGGAAGACTTTTCTGTAAACCTGAGCTATTGGTCTTATTTTCTTCTTAAGTAAATGCCTGTTGCAAAAACTCTTGCAGTTTCCACTAATATATTGCATTAGACTAAGCATTTTCGAATGATTTGTGCAAGACAGCACTCTTGTTTGGTAGAAACGCATATAATTAGACTTCCTTAAATTTATATTTTGCTTGTCTGTTGATCCCTAGATCAGAAGCCAAGGGGATTTCACGAAGTCGTTCTGTCAAACGCATGTGGATAACGCACCAGATCCCGAGATTACTGGTTTCGAACCTGCAGAAAAACTTCAAAGTATATGCACCAAACTCAAACTGTTCCAAGAACACCTCGCTGCGGTCAGAGAGCAGCAAATACAGCTTCAGGAGCCCTCCAACTCATTGCTCAGCAAGTTGAGGAACGCTCATGAGCGCTTGGGCGACCTGGCATCGACTGTCAACATGGCCCTGCAGTGTCTGAAGCCCAACGAGCTCATCACGGTGGGGTCCATAACCAACTCACCAAGGAATACCTTCCAGCAGAAAGTATATGGCTGTGTGGTTCTGACAAGGCACAAGGAATTCCTGTCTCGAGTTTATCATGAGCTAAAGAACCTCAGGAACACAGTTGAAAGATGAACTTCAGGAAGAGTTCTCATATAGCTCCAGTGGACAATTTTGGGTTCCGTTATTATATGCCTATTATATGCCTATAAACCAAAGACAGCAGATGTTATACATTTTTGTATACATATTTATTTTATTTAATTATTAATTTATTAATGTGACTGGTCACTATATACTGTTCCAATTACATTACTGCTGGCAGTCATTAAAGGTGCGACTTCCTTTCTTTTATAAAAGAGCTCTCATCTGTTTTGTTACAATATGACCCACGAACCACCCTCTTCCACAATATTAAATTTAAACCTGTTTATTTTGATATATCATAATTATGCATTACAATAGGAATGAGCTGGTGAGTCATATAGACACAAGGGGGCACTGTTTTCTCTAGGACAAAATATAGGTAAGGGCTGGGTTCGAATTCAGGGGCTGCATCTTTCTAAGGCTGCATTTGAAGACTGAATGCAGGGCTGTTCCATTTCAAAGGCTCCTTCAAATGTGGCCCAGAAATACATTCTTCTTTTGGCCAGTTGTGAAGGATCCACCTGCTGAATCCTTTGCAGCCCAACATATCCCAAGATTCATTGCATGGACCTTCGAAGCACGCAGCCCTCAAAGGCTACATAGCCCGCGTCCTTCGTAGGATGCAGCCTCCGAATTCGGACACAACCATGGTCAGACTGGTAGGACTGGCTGTAAGGCAAGCAGATGGCTAGGTATCCCCTACAGTGACAATCATTCACCCTCAATCCATTTTTAGCGTACTGACTGGATACATTGGATAGCATTAGCTTTAGCATAGTTTTCTACACTGCATGTAGCAGTTAGTTTCTCAGTAAACAACCCAGTTTTGGTTACCCAAAGTCAACTTATTGAAGATTTTTATGTGTCCCTTGGCTAAACACTAGCAGCTATTAGGAAAAACTAACAACTACAGGGGCTCCTTGCTTTACGATGGTTCGACTTACGATATTTCGGCTTTACGATGGTGTGAGAGCGATGCACATGCAGTAATCAAATTTGAATTTTGATCTGTCGGCTTATGGCAGCATCCACGCAGCGTCTAGTGTCTGTAGTGATCACAGGCATAAACATCTCGTACAGTGTTTAACAGTGTTTTCTTTCTGCGTTTAACCAAATAAACTTGTAGTCATTTATTTACTTTTCAAATACTGGTATTTAATTAGTTACAGTAGTTTGTTAACCATATTCAGTGACAGTAATTTATTTGCTTATTCAGTGACAGTAGTTATTTATTTATTCATTTATTATATCGTACTCATATTTCTTTACTTATTTATCATATCGTATTCATATTCGACTTACGATATCTTCCTCTTACCATGGGTTCATTGGAATATAACCATTGTAAGTCAAGAAGCATTTGGAAAAATACCAAAATGAAATATGTGCAACTAAAGACCTATGCATCCTCTACCAGGGTGAACCCATGGAAATCTTGACTGAGGTCAGCAGGCGAAAAGCAGGAGAACAAGGATGGTTCCACCCTGCCCTGGTCATGTGATCTAGCTACTCAGCCAGGTGATTGTTGCTCACCCTGTGCTGTCTCCTGCTTTGTGGCGGTCATGTGAGACCTACTTCCCTGATTCTAGGGGCATTAAGATGCAGAAAGCACAACCTATTCTCTGCACACAATTGTCTCTGGCAGCTCAATAATAACATGGTCAAGGACTCTGCACACCATTATAGAAAGCTCTGCTAATGTGACTTAGCTATCCACACTGCTAAAATGTCCAAGTACCACTAAATACATGCTCCGCTAGCAGCACGGCTAATACGTCAACGCACTGCTTTTCAATTAAGCTTTATTTCCCATTTGTATAATACAAAGGTTTTCTTTCAACCAACCAATTACGTATAAAGAGTCACAGTCACAGAGGACTCAACTGGTTGTTTGAAACAAAATCTCAGTCTGGATTTGTACTTTCTGGATCTGAACTCTCCACCTCTGGTTATCAGTGATGCTAAAAAGTCTATGTACTATTGTACAAAAATCTCATGCTCATGTAACTCTGCTAGCACTGTCTGTGCACTGCTAAACAAATAGTTCAAAATAATGTGACTCTGCTAGCTGTGTTGCTAAAATGTCTATGTATTGCTGTACAAATATCTCATGCTAATGTAACTCTGCTAGGCCCGCCTATGCGCTGCTAAACCAATAGCTCAAGCTAACGTCACTCTGCTAGCAGTGTTTCCGACAAAGTCTATGCCAATGTGTTAGCCACACTGGTGAAATGTCTATGTACTGCTATAAAAACAGCTCTTCCACTAACCCTGCAACCCAAAATTCGTTTGCCAGCACTGCAATATTGACAGCTGAAAATAGTGATGGCGCTAAACATCTGATATTCTTATATTAGCAGCATAATATTAGCATTTACAGTAAATTCATGTCAGGACACTACAAGGTGCAATGAATGCCACGAGTTTTTCTCTTGCTGCATTTTCTGCCTCTTGTCTTCTGGGCTAATGCTAGGACCAGCGGAAAAAGCACTGCAACTGCGCCACGCACACTAGCCTCTAGCTAACTCTTCCTAACCTGAGTGCCACCCACGCAGCATAATTGCGACATCGGGTGTCCAGCCATTGCACTCTTCTATGGCGAGACGGTTGGCGCGGGCATTCCGCCGCAAGTCACAATCACACGGCAAGCTGGACACTGAGAGGGGCTACTGCAGGTCAAGGTCAAGTTCCCCCTTTCTACTGTCTGTGCGTTTCTGGGTGTGACTTCTGTTTTTAGTGGGGGGGTCGAGGTGTGAAGATTATGTCATGAGTTATGTCACAATTATTCACACATAGAAACAGATTAATATTTCCAAGAACATATGCTGGAAAATGTGCCTGTTTTAGACGTATATCTGGGGATGAAATCGAAATAAGATGACAGCAAGTAGGAAAAAGAAAGATGATGTGCTTTCAGGTTTTGCACCTAGAGCAACTCGAGCCTCGCAGATATCTGAGCTGTCCACGTCATCAGGAGGACATCAGTGACGTCACCACCACACAGTCGAGCGATTAACTAAAGCTCTGTATCTTTAAACCCCAGGTGTGTCGGCTGTCTTAAACCACACAGAACCGTGTCCCCAAAGTGACCCAATCCCAAAATGACTGGCCAACCCCCCAGTGTCCTAAATGCTGAGAGATACATAGGAGATGGAAAGTCAGAAAGCACCTCTTCACATGACGGTCTAGCCTTTGTTTTTCAGCTACTTTTCTGCGAATAAGTGCATTTTTTCCACTCTTTGTTCCTGAAACAGCAAATGATTTCAACATCATCACGGCTCACACTGGATGAAAGTTAAGCGTGTCCTTTCAGGGCTGAAATGTCATCCTTGTTCTTTTTTGTCTTAAACAGCAAAAACTTTCGCCTGCTTTGTGCCCTATGCTACTTGGGTTAGGCACCCGGGTCCACCTCATGACCTGCATTACACTGGATAAGCGCTTGATCAATGGATGATACCAGGGGCGGAGCTACGTGGTGGTTTGGGGGGAGCATTGCCCCCCCCGGTTGAAGCTTGGTCCCCCTCTGATGCCCCCCCTCCATCCCGATCCGGACAGCACATGACTGCAGACAATCACGAAAAAAGTTTTGCCACACAATGATTGGCCTGCATGTGATAGTGCATGGCTCTGATTGGCTACTCTCCTGATGCGGATGGAGCGCACACGCAGCAGTGGGAGACTTCGAAGGCACTGCACAACTAGCCAACGGTAAAATCAGGTCAGTCGATGACGGTTTAAACGTTAATGCTATGTAAGTTGATTTATAAATGTAATTTAAGGTGGTGGAATTTGGTCAGCTATCTTTAGCCAGTAGTATAAAGTATTGTTAGCTAGCGTAAAAGTTAACATAGTTAACTAACTATCCAAGCTTACATTTATAGTGTTTAGCAGTACATATGTAGTCTATCTATTGCCGTTATTAAATTAGCTACCGTAAAATTTGAAAGATTGTGAATAGTTTTATCATACCAAGTGCCAACCCCAATAAAATGACTGGACCTTGATGCCCCCCCTCCAGTAGATAAGTGCTGGATGGTTCCCACAGGTACCCACCTGGTCTGGTCTGAATATATGGTTGTGAAACACTGTAGCAATTGCGAAATCGAAGTTCAGAGTTCTTCATTATTCATATGCAGTCGTACTTGTACAACATGCAGTGAAATGCTTATTCGACCAGGTCCCCTGACTGTGCCGTCTAAAATGAGAGAAATCCCCCAAAGGGCGTGTGAAAAAGGTGTTGAAATGCGTCCACTCCCAGCTGCAGCAATCGCAAGTCAGCAGAGCATGAATAGTGTTTTTACCTTGTTGGAAAGAAGATACAAAACAGAGATATGCTGTGTGGGAATGATGACAGAGTGAAATGAGCAAGGCTGTTTGTTTTTGGTGTGGCTGGAAAATGAGGAGTTGAGTGTTGAAGCCCCTGTAGATTAATCATGGTGAGAAGGGTGGGCAGTGAAAACGGGGGTGTTTATCTTAAAGCCACAGATTTACAGTAAGTTCATGCTGGGGCACTCTGCTCAGAGGTGCAATGAAGGCCACGTGTTTTTTTTTCTGTTCTTTCTGCCACTTGTTTTCTCTAAAAAGCACTTTAAGCTTTCTTGTGGAGAGGTTTTCGCGGTTTCTCTGAGGGCTGTGGAATCGTCCGCCCTGAGCTTCTTCGCGACTTCGGCGCCTGACTGTCAGTTCACTTTCACGCAGAAACTTGGTGCAACGCAAAACAGGATGCATGAAAACGACAACATTGGCAGCAGATGATAATTGAAAGTAATCTCATTAGATGAAGGGCATTCGAACCACACTTCATTACAAGTCACTTATGGGAAATTTGCCTCCTATAACTGGTTTAATGAAACGGCTAACCGGTTAGACAACTGGTCAGCGTTATTAACCTGAAGGTGACTATAGGTTTCTATCATGGGACCATTGTAGATCTTTTCATATTTTTGTCCTGTGTGACTCAAGGCTGATTGTCAACATCACCCTGAGAGGTACTTGATTTGGGTTGGGGCGGTTTATGTTATGGGTTCCAAACCCCCGGTCCACAGAAAATGCTGCGTCCCATATTGATCCACGACAATACACGATTCGTCCTGTATTTCTGCACACATTGTGGTCCCCCCCCCCCCCCCCCCCCAGTTAATTAAATTTTTGCATGATGCAGACTGGTTCACTGACATCAAAATGCTGGGAACCCCCGGTTTTGCAGGTTAGCGGGGGTATAATAGTCATTAGATCTTGTCCCAGGTATTAATTGAAGAGCACATGCTGAGCCCTGTGACTGGGCCGCTCTTTAATCACACATATGTCACAAAAGGTGCAGGGTATTTTAAATAGCTTGTTGTGGCATTTGTGCATGTATGAGCCTGCTGGCAGATTCCAGACCATTTGCCTGTCCTTCCCTCTTCATTAAGCCCAAAGCCACCTCTGTATGAAGTGTTTGATGTTCCATGCAGAATTCTGTAACCATGCAAGGCTTCCAAAATAAAAGCACTATAAATTTTCCTTGTGAATGTGGAATTTCTGAGAAATACTGGAGGAAAACTAAGGGAAAAAAAGAAAAATTAGTGACAATAGGTTTTAAATATTTTATTCGACAAATATATTGTGTTCATTCACATGCAAACACTTGTCGATAAAAATAAGCTATTATGGAAGGCACAGTTGTAATTTATTCCAAAATAAGAGGACCTAACAGCTCTTTATCTAAGAGAAAGTTTAAAAAGATATTTCTGCTCTTTGTACATGTTCCAGAGAATGTCTGTCATACACATGAAACCACTAGAGGGCAGTACTAACAAATGAAAGAGGAGAAGAAAATAAAACGCGACACCCAGATGAAACAGGTGCTACTCTGTGCATGCAGAACTGCAGTTCCACACTAAACCAGTATGAAGGCGTTTTTGCATTCAGTCATACCATACAGGCAACATTTTGGGAAGGCTTCAGATTACTGTTCTCAGCAAAACACAGAGATTTTTAAATAACAGTCCCTATGGTTGATTTGGAAGGAGGTGACTTCAATGCAGGTCTATAAACGACAAAAAAAATCTCAGTATATTGTTTAACACTGTATCTGTAACCTCTGACAGGCTGACTGGCACCGAAAGTTGTGTGATGGTATTGATTTTTGTTATTTAGCTGAAGCTCACATTTAACATGACTGATTACTCTTAGAACGTAATCTAAAGAGCGGAGAATGGCCGTGTTCATAGGTCACAGCCATGAACACTGCTCCACAGGCTTGCTGTCACGTGTGATGGAACCTTGACGTGAAACATGCATGGAGAGAACCACAATTTCTTTATTCTTGAAAATATTCTTGGAATATACACCGGTCAATCATAACATTAAAACCACTGACAGGTGAAATGATTAACACTGATTATCTCTCTAAAATGGCACCTGACAGAGGTTATTTATGTTATTTAGGCAAGGGGACAGTCAGTTCTTGAAGTTTATGTGTTGGAAGCAGGGAAAATAGGGGAAGTGTACCGATCTAAGCGGCTCTGACAAGGGCCAAATTGTGCTGGCTGGAAGACTGGGTCAGAGCATCTCCAGAGCGGTAGGTCTGGTGGGGTGTTCCTGGTATGCAGTGGTCAGTAGGAAGGCCAAGGAAGGCCAAAGGGTGAACTGGCAATGGGGTCATAGGCACCCAAAACTCATTGGTGTGCCTTGTCCGATCCCACAGGAGAGCTACTGTAGGTCTAATTGCTGAAAAAGTTAATGCTGGCTATGATAGAAAGGTGTCAGAACACACAGTGCATTGCAGCTTGCTGAGTCTGGGGCAGACCAGTCAGGGTGCTCATTCTGATCCCTGTCTACCTCTGAAACCACCTAAATGGGCACGTGAGCGTCTGAACTAGACCAAGGAGCAATGGGAGAAGGTGGCCTGGTCTGATGAGTCACATTTTCTGTTACATCATGTGGGCGGCCAGGTGTGTGTGTGTTGATTACCTGGGGAAGAGATGGCACCATGATGCACTTTGGGAAGAAAGCAAGCTGGCAGGGGCAGTGTGATCCTCTGGCCAATGTTCTGCTAGGAAACCTTGGGTCTAGGCATTCATGGGGGTGTTACTTTGACACGTAGCACCTACCTAACCAGGTACACCGCTTCATGGCAACAGTATTCCTCAATGGCCTCTTTTAGCAGGATATTCCACCCTGCCACACTGCAAGAATTGTTTAGGAATGGATTGAGGAGCATGAAAAAAGGTTCAAGTGGTTGACTTGGCCTCCAAATTGAGTCTGATTGCAGCATTAGAGGGATGTTCTGGAGAAACAAGTCCAAACCATGGAGGTCCCACCTCACAACTTATAGGACTTAAAGGATCTACTGCTAACATCTTGGTGCCAGATACCACAGGACACCTTCAGAGGTCTTGTGGAGCCCATGCCTCAGTGGGTCAGTGGTGGTTTTAATGTTATGGCTAATAGGCCTATATCTTTCCCCTTCTAGTATTAATTATTGATGTGTGCAAGTATTTCCATGCAAATATGTAGGCTTTACATGGGGATATGTTTATGACAATATTTATGCAAACCCAAGAGTGTTTACTCATATAGTTCTCATGCCATTTAGAGTGTGACAGATACTGTAGTTGTACGCTGGTGATGAGATCCGTCTTATTGCACATAGTAGAATACTGCATAGTATGCGTGCATCTAATTTTAGGGCAATGGGAACAGGCACCAACAATTACATTACATGCATATTATTGCATATTTCTGTATTATTTACTTTTTTGAGAACCTCTAGGCATCACGTAGACTACAGTGTTTATACAGTTGCATCCGTATTCACTAAGTATATTTGGTCAAATCTAGATCTGCATAGATGTGTGAATATATGGGTATGAAATTGAGTAACATGATCAAAAAGGTACATTCTAGAATTATTCGGGAGAAAGAAAAAAGAAAACATCACTGATGTTTTTTTCTTTGTTTTTTTTTTTGCTTGGTAAAAATCTACTTGCTCGTTTGCAAATCCTGGGAGAGGCCATGTGAGTTGCTGGAGCTGGATCTGCAGCCAGTGAGGAGATGAGCTCATTAGCACAGCGCACAGGCATTGTTCTGGAAGCGAATGTGCATCTTTGTTTCAATCTCAATGTCTTTCAGAATCTGGAAAGTTGAGGCATGGGGAGTTAGGGCACGTGTGCGTAGCGGGGGGGCCACGAACCAGCCAGCCTCTCACACCAAACATATACTTCTTATCAATGCAAATTTGCTCGTCGTGGCATGAAATGGAAAATGGCAAACCTTTAGAAAGTGGTCAAAGGTGATGCCTTCATAGAAGTCGTCAGGGTTCTGAAAGGGGAATAAGCCAAGGGTGTCACTTCAAGGTAAGGAGTCTCCACTCACATCCACAACACAGAGATACAGTGATTCATGCTGGTTTCTTGCCGTGGTGTTTTGGGCTGTTATGCGTGTGATTTAAGTGACTACCAGCAATGCATTGTGGCCTTGGATTTAAGCTGCATTATTGGATTACTCCCATGTCCATATTACTGGACCTATTGACTGTATCTTAATTTAAAAACATCATTTTGGTTCTTCTGGTTCATCTGGTTATATGCTTAAAATTTTATTCTGTGAACAATAATCTTATATATGCTTTTTATGCACTCTAATGAAGGCTAAGAGGAAATAAAAATGTCTCAATTTAGATTTAACAGAGTATGCAATACACTGTTAAATGATTTGATAACTATTTTAAAAGTGCATTGAAACCCCACCCCCATCTAGATGGGCAAATTCTAGCCTTCATCTTAAAAGTCATGGCTTGGTTAATGTCGTGTCATGTACTCGGTTCTTATCACTAAATGTGCTGTGGACTTCTTCAAGCATGTTAACATACTTGCAGGAATGTGCTATTTGTAACCTCAGCACTAGAGGTCACTCTAGAGCCATGAGAAGGAGAGTGAGCCTTTATCACAGTAAGGACTGAACCCAGAACAGAATTAGTACTGGGCGATGTAACCAGCCAATCGTATAGTTGCAAAGGTACCATGCGGCCCACTGTGATGCTGGCCACTTCCAGCATGGCTGCATCAGCGATCCCCTTGGCCGTCTCCTTTCCTATGGCGCCGCTGCGAGACAGGAGCTCCTCCACCACCTATGGAGTCAGGAGAATCAGAAACGGTCAGAAACCCTGAGCGGAGGCAGGCGTGTAACAACGAGCACCCAGGAGTCATGTGACTTACATGCTTGTATTCCTCTAGTGTGATGGTCCCGTCATTATCCGTGTCATGCATGTTAAACAGGACTGGGGAGGAAAATAAAAAAGTCAACCCACTTTGAATGATTCCGTCCATTTTTTTTTAAGTTCATCAGATTTAATACGGTGTTTTCATTCTTCCCTTATGTATCCTGGATAGTACACTGGAGAAGGTTTAAGTTACACAGGCAATGACAGTGTCTGCCGCCAGTTATGGTGAAAATGAAAGTTAACTTTCAAGCATGGAAGTATGCTGGTATAAGAGAATTAAACTGGGTTTGTTTCACAAGCACAGAACGAGTGATTTGATTGGCTCTTCCATGTGTAATGTTAACCGAAGCTGTGAAGACAATTGAAACCCACGGGTCCAGACACGTCGCCACAAAGCAGCAATCGATGTTTACATTCTGTGAATCATAATCCCAGAAAACATCCACAAAACATGTGTGTAATGTCTGGCTGCAGACGCCGCTCTCATGCCCGCCTCTCTCAGGGTCCACCACTCTCAGACCCGCCTCTCTCAGGCCTGCCACTCTCAGACCCGCCACTCTCAGTCCTGCAACTCTCAGACCCCCCACTCTCAGACCCGCCGCTCTCAGTACCCGCCACTCTTAGGCCCATCGCTCTCAGACCCGCCACTCTCAGGCCCACCGCTCTAAGGACCCGCCACTCTTAGGCCCATTGCTCTCAGGCCTCGTTGCTCTCAGGCCTCGTTGCTCTCAGGCCTTGGTACTATCAGGACCTGCCGCTCTCAGGCCCACCACTCTCAAGCCCCATTGAGAATGTAATAATCAAATTAATATCCAGAATGCTTCAAATTTTAAAAGTGATTGACAAATATCTAGATCTAACTGCTAATATGAATTAAAATGCTATTGCTTTCATTGAGTAAATTTTCACGCATGACCAGTAAACCTTTAAACAAAAAAAAACAAAAAATAAAATTTTAAATACATTGACAATTACGAAACATAGATCATGCAGAAATATATACACGGGACATTTTTTTCAAACACCTTAAACAGATAAATTACACTTTGAAAACTCGTGAAATTGATGAAGTACATGTGTCAACCCAACCGGGAGGGGCCTGAGAGCGGTGGACCTGAGAGAAGTGTTGAGAGTCCGCAGCCATATGTTATTGAAATGTCAGTTAAAATACATATTGGGCTTTGATGACAAGGCAGAGCAGGGCAAAATGGCTGCCCATTTGGAACTCCACTTCCCATAACCCCCCTTCCTTCGTAATCACAAATTACTGTGCTTTTATAACTCTCCCTATAACTGTCCATACTGCTCCATTTAAAAGGTAATGCGTGAAATGCAAAAAAGAGCTGCAGGCATATATACAGATGCGGAGACAAGGGGCTAAATCTTCTGGGCACAGCACCCAGGACGTTCATGGTGGTGATGTCAGCACTCATGCTCACAGCGGAGTTTCTCTCTCCTCATGCGTTCCCTCTGCTCTTCTGTCATGTTGTGCAGCGGCACAGGTAGGAAATGAGACATGACGATGACGAACTGCTCGAAGCTGATCTCCTCCACCGAGCCCACGGCGTTCTGCCGGTAGTTCCTGTGGGGGGGGGGGGGNCCCCGGTCCACAGAAAATGCTGCGTCCCATATTGATCCACGACAATACACGATTCGTCCTGTATTTCTGCACACATTGTGGTCCCCCCCCCCCCCACCCCCCAGTTAATTAAATTTTTGCATGATGCAGACTGGTTCACTGACATCAAAATGCTGGGAACCCCCGGTTTTGCAGGTTAGCGGGGGTATAATAGTCATTAGATCTTGTCCCAGGTATTAATTGAAGAGCACATGCTGAGCCCTGTGACTGGGCCGCTCTTTAATCACACATATGTCACAAAAGGTGCAGGGTATTTTAAATAGCTTGTTGTGGCATTTGTGCATGTATGAGCCTGCTGGCAGATTCCAGACCATTTGCCTGTCCTTCCCTCTTCATTAAGCCCAAAGCCACCTCTGTATGAAGTGTTTGATGTTCCATGCAGAATTCTGTAACCATGCAAGGCTTCCAAAATAAAAGCACTATAAATTTTCCTTGTGAATGTGGAATTTCTGAGAAATACTGGAGGAAAACTAAGGGAAAAAAAGAAAAATTAGTGACAATAGGTTTTAAATATTTTATTCGACAAATATATTGTGTTCATTCACATGCAAACACTTGTCGATAAAAATAAGCTATTATGGAAGGCACAGTTGTAATTTATTCCAAAATAAGAGGACCTAACAGCTCTTTATCTAAGAGAAAGTTTAAAAAGATATTTCTGCTCTTTGTACATGTTCCAGAGAATGTCTGTCATACACATGAAACCACTAGAGGGCAGTACTAACAAATGAAAGAGGAGAAGAAAATAAAACGCGACACCCAGATGAAACAGGTGCTACTCTGTGCATGCAGAACTGCAGTTCCACACTAAACCAGTATGAAGGCGTTTTTGCATTCAGTCATACCATACAGGCAACATTTTGGGAAGGCTTCAGATTACTGTTCTCAGCAAAACACAGAGATTTTTAAATAACAGTCCCTATGGTTGATTTGGAAGGAGGTGACTTCAATGCAGGTCTATAAACGACAAAAAAAATCTCAGTATATTGTTTAACACTGTATCTGTAACCTCTGACAGGCTGACTGGCACCGAAAGTTGTGTGATGGTATTGATTTTTGTTATTTAGCTGAAGCTCACATTTAACATGACTGATTACTCTTAGAACGTAATCTAAAGAGCGGAGAATGGCCGTGTTCATAGGTCACAGCCATGAACACTGCTCCACAGGCTTGCTGTCACGTGTGATGGAACCTTGACGTGAAACATGCATGGAGAGAACCACAATTTCTTTATTCTTGAAAATATTCTTGGAATATACACCGGTCAATCATAACATTAAAACCACTGACAGGTGAAATGATTAACACTGATTATCTCTCTAAAATGGCACCTGACAGAGGTTATTTATGTTATTTAGGCAAGGGGACAGTCAGTTCTTGAAGTTTATGTGTTGGAAGCAGGGAAAATAGGGGAAGTGTACCGATCTAAGCGGCTCTGACAAGGGCCAAATTGTGCTGGCTGGAAGACTGGGTCAGAGCATCTCCAGAGCGGTAGGTCTGGTGGGGTGTTCCTGGTATGCAGTGGTCAGTAGGAAGGCCAAGGAAGGCCAAAGGGTGAACTGGCAATGGGGTCATAGGCACCCAAAACTCATTGGTGTGCCTTGTCCGATCCCACAGGAGAGCTACTGTAGGTCTAATTGCTGAAAAAGTTAATGCTGGCTATGATAGAAAGGTGTCAGAACACACAGTGCATTGCAGCTTGCTGAGTCTGGGGCAGACCAGTCAGGGTGCTCATTCTGATCCCTGTCTACCTCTGAAACCACCTAAATGGGCACGTGAGCGTCTGAACTAGACCAAGGAGCAATGGGAGAAGGTGGCCTGGTCTGATGAGTCACATTTTCTGTTACATCATGTGGGCGGCCAGGTGTGTGTGTGTTGATTACCTGGGGAAGAGATGGCACCATGATGCACTTTGGGAAGAAAGCAAGCTGGCAGGGGCAGTGTGATCCTCTGGCCAATGTTCTGCTAGGAAACCTTGGGTCTAGGCATTCATGGGGGTGTTACTTTGACACGTAGCACCTACCTAACCAGGTACACCGCTTCATGGCAACAGTATTCCTCAATGGCCTCTTTTAGCAGGATATTCCACCCTGCCACACTGCAAGAATTGTTTAGGAATGGATTGAGGAGCATGAAAAAAGGTTCAAGTGGTTGACTTGGCCTCCAAATTGAGTCTGATTGCAGCATTAGAGGGATGTTCTGGAGAAACAAGTCCAAACCATGGAGGTCCCACCTCACAACTTATAGGACTTAAAGAATCTACTGCTAACATCTTGGTGCCAGATACCACAGGACACCTTCAGAGGTCTTGTGGAGCCCATGCCTCAGTGGGTCAGTGGTGGTTTTAATGTTATGGCTAATAGGCCTATATCTTTCCCCTTCTAGTATTAATTATTGATGTGTGCAAGTATTTCCATGCAAATATGTAGGCTTTACATGGGGATATGTTTATGACAATATTTATGCAAACCCAAGAGTGTTTACTCATATAGTTCTCATGCCATTTAGAGTGTGACAGATACTGTAGTTGTACGCTGGTGATGAGATCCGTCTTATTGCACATAGTAGAATACTGCATAGTATGCGTGCATCTAATTTTAGGGCAATGGGAACAGGCACCAACAATTACATTACATGCATATTATTGCATATTTCTGTATTATTTACTTTTTTGAGAACCTCTAGGCATCACGTAGACTACAGTGTTTATACAGTTGCATCCGTATTCACTAAGTATATTTGGTCAAATCTAGATCTGCATAGATGTGTGAATATATGGGTATGAAATTGAGTAACATGATCAAAAAGGTACATTCTAGAATTATTCGGGAGAAAGAAAAAAGAAAACATCACTGATGTTTTTTTCTTTGTTTTTTTTTTTGCTTGGTAAAAATCTACTTGCTCGTTTGCAAATCCTGGGAGAGGCCATGTGAGTTGCTGGAGCTGGATCTGCAGCCAGTGAGGAGATGAGCTCATTAGCACAGCGCACAGGCATTGTTCTGGAAGCGAATGTGCATCTTTGTTTCAATCTCAATGTCTTTCAGAATCTGGAAAGTTGAGGCATGGGGAGTTAGGGCACGTGTGCGTAGCGGGGGGGCCACGAACCAGCCAGCCTCTCACACCAAACATATACTTCTTATCAATGCAAATTTGCTCGTCGTGGCATGAAATGGAAAATGGCAAACCTTTAGAAAGTGGTCAAAGGTGATGCCTTCATAGAAGTCGTCAGGGTTCTGAAAGGGGAATAAGCCAAGGGTGTCACTTCAAGGTAAGGAGTCTCCACTCACATCCACAACACAGAGATACAGTGATTCATGCTGGTTTCTTGCCGTGGTGTTTTGGGCTGTTATGCGTGTGATTTAAGTGACTACCAGCAATGCATTGTGGCCTTGGATTTAAGCTGCATTATTGGATTACTCCCATGTCCATATTACTGGACCTATTGACTGTATCTTAATTTAAAAACATCATTTTGGTTCTTCTGGTTCATCTGGTTATATGCTTAAAATTTTATTCTGTGAACAATAATCTTATATATGCTTTTTATGCACTCTAATGAAGGCTAAGAGGAAATAAAAATGTCTCAATTTAGATTTAACAGAGTATGCAATACACTGTTAAATGATTTGATAACTATTTTAAAAGTGCATTGAAACCCCACCCCCATCTAGATGGGCAAATTCTAGCCTTCATCTTAAAAGTCATGGCTTGGTTAATGTCGTGTCATGTACTCGGTTCTTATCACTAAATGTGCTGTGGACTTCTTCAAGCATGTTAACATACTTGCAGGAATGTGCTATTTGTAACCTCAGCACTAGAGGTCACTCTAGAGCCATGAGAAGGAGAGTGAGCCTTTATCACAGTAAGGACTGAACCCAGAACAGAATTAGTACTGGGCGATGTAACCAGCCAATCGTATAGTTGCAAAGGTACCATGCGGCCCACTGTGATGCTGGCCACTTCCAGCATGGCTGCATCAGCGATCCCCTTGGCCGTCTCCTTTCCTATGGCGCCGCTGCGAGACAGGAGCTCCTCCACCACCTATGGAGTCAGGAGAATCAGAAACGGTCAGAAACCCTGAGCGGAGGCAGGCGTGTAACAACGAGCACCCAGGAGTCATGTGACTTACATGCTTGTATTCCTCTAGTGTGATGGTCCCGTCATTATCCGTGTCATGCATGTTAAACAGGACTGGGGAGGAAAATAAAAAAGTCAACCCACTTTGAATGATTCCGTCCATTTTTTTTTAAGTTCATCAGATTTAATACGGTGTTTTCATTCTTCCCTTATGTATCCTGGATAGTACACTGGAGAAGGTTTAAGTTACACAGGCAATGACAGTGTCTGCCGCCAGTTATGGTGAAAATGAAAGTTAACTTTCAAGCATGGAAGTATGCTGGTATAAGAGAATTAAACTGGGTTTGTTTCACAAGCACAGAACGAGTGATTTGATTGGCTCTTCCATGTGTAATGTTAACCGAAGCTGTGAAGACAATTGAAACCCACGGGTCCAGACACGTCGCCACAAAGCAGCAATCGATGTTTACATTCTGTGAATCATAATCCCAGAAAACATCCACAAAACATGTGTGTAATGTCTGGCTGCAGACGCCGCTCTCATGCCCGCCTCTCTCAGGGTCCACCACTCTCAGACCCGCCTCTCTCAGGCCTGCCACTCTCAGACCCGCCACTCTCAGTCCTGCAACTCTCAGACCCCCCACTCTCAGACCCGCCGCTCTCAGTACCCGCCACTCTTAGGCCCATCGCTCTCAGACCCGCCACTCTCAGGCCCACCGCTCTAAGGACCCGCCACTCTTAGGCCCATTGCTCTCAGGCCTCGTTGCTCTCAGGCCTCGTTGCTCTCAGGCCTTGGTACTATCAGGACCTGCCGCTCTCAGGCCCACCACTCTCAAGCCCCATTGAGAATGTAATAATCAAATTAATATCCAGAATGCTTCAAATTTTAAAAGTGATTGACAAATATCTAGATCTAACTGCTAATATGAATTAAAATGCTATTGCTTTCATTGAGTAAATTTTCACGCATGACCAGTAAACCTTTAAACAAAAAAAAACAAAAAATAAAATTTTAAATACATTGACAATTACGAAACATAGATCATGCAGAAATATATACACGGGACATTTTTTTCAAACACCTTAAACAGATAAATTACACTTTGAAAACTCGTGAAATTGATGAAGTACATGTGTCAACCCAACCGGGAGGGGCCTGAGAGCGGTGGACCTGAGAGAAGTGTTGAGAGTCCGCAGCCATATGTTATTGAAATGTCAGTTAAAATACATATTGGGCTTTGATGACAAGGCAGAGCAGGGCAAAATGGCTGCCCATTTGGAACTCCACTTCCCATAACCCCCCTTCCTTCGTAATCACAAATTACTGTGCTTTTATAACTCTCCCTATAACTGTCCATACTGCTCCATTTAAAAGGTAATGCGTGAAATGCAAAAAAGAGCTGCAGGCATATATACAGATGCGGAGACAAGGGGCTAAATCTTCTGGGCACAGCACCCAGGACGTTCATGGTGGTGATGTCAGCACTCATGCTCACAGCGGAGTTTCTCTCTCCTCATGCGTTCCCTCTGCTCTTCTGTCATGTTGTGCAGCGGCACAGGTAGGAAATGAGACATGACGATGACGAACTGCTCGAAGCTGATCTCCTCCACCGAGCCCACGGCGTTCTGCCGGTAGTTCCTGTGGGGGGGGGGGGGTCACTGTTGTTATCGCCGTTCAAACAAACCCAAAGTCATCCATAATACTCCCACCGCTTTTCCCCAGTGTTTCCAGGTTGAGGTTTGCGGTTAAAGCCCAGCTTAGCTAAAAATATCCATCTATACTGCAGCCTTTTTGAGGAATTGATACTATACTACATTTATGTGTCTTGCTAAAAGTGTTTCCCCTTCATTCGTCTTCTGAAAGCAAGCGATCATTCAGGAGACCCAAAGCCTGTCTCAGTTTGTATCCTGGATGGGACACCAGTCCTTGGCAGGACAGTAGGACACACATATGGATTCTCACACCCACGGACTTACAGAACACACAAAAATTAAGAGACCAGAGCAAAAGTTTCAGTTTCACTCATTTCTCAGTTTATGGGTTTGCTTCTGTGTAAAATATACATTTTTTTTCAAGCTGCAGCCTGGTTCTTCCCTGCTTCTCATTGATGAAGGGCTTCTTCCCTGCTCTATGGGTCTTCAGTCCTGCTTCTAGGAGCCTGTTATGAACTGTCCAAGCAGTGCACTTCACACCTACTCTTCATGTTACCCATTCCTTTTGAAGGTCCTTTTGTGGGGCACTGCCGGATAAGTTGATGGTCATCTCTGCCATTAGAAAGTTGCTTCTGGTTGGTGGTTATTGCCAGTGTCTCCTGCTCCACCTTATTCTTGTGTACTGCTGTCTTAGAAACTGAACCTGGAAGCAAGCCTGCCTTGCTGTGTACCATGATTAAACCAGGATTAATCAATGCAGATTTTCAAAAAATAAAAAGTGGTCTCTTAATTTTTTCAAGAGCTGTATATCTTCAGTCATACAGGAGCCACAAACACACAAATCCATGCAGACAGGGTGTCTGGAATGGAAACTAGGAGGCGTGAGACATGAAGGTTGTCTTTAGGAGGGCCACCACAGCCAACCCCCATGTCGGGGGTCCCACTCATGAGAGCTACAATGCTTACCTTCACCTGCCAGTCAGTCAGTGTCAGTCAGTCAGTCAGTCAATGACAGTCAGTCTGTATCAGTCAGTCAGTGTCAGTCAGTCAGTATCAGTCAGTCAGTCAGAAAACCCCCAACATTGTTTTTCGCAGTCCTGTGTCTTACCTTTTGTCGAAGAAGGCTTCGATGATTTGGGTCCGTATTGGGTTACAGGCCAGGTCCGTGATGTTGTTAAAGTCATCTCTCCTACAAGTCAGACACAGGCAAATGTTTACTCTGAGAGGCAAGATTGGACACGCAGGGCCATCATCGGATTTGGGTCCTATTACTGGAAGGCATCCCATCATGTTAGAGCAGGAGCAACAGATGATAGCTATGGTATTTTGGATATAGAGTAGGGCTGGGTGATATCATATTGATATTATATCACGCATGTGCAATAATCACCAGGGCTTCAGCTGACGAGCGAAATATTTGACCAGATGCCAGCTTTTCCGTACTATATGAATGTTTATTTACACCCACAATTTGATAAGCAGATTAGCAGTACAGCTGAAATAGTAATGCGATGTATTTTGTGACACCCGAAAGATAGTAATCTGTATAAACTCAGCGTATATTTATGTTTATTAAATTTGGTTAGCAAGGCACACCACATAATGCTGGTTTGGTGTACTATGGTTCGGTATATTTTACTGCGATATACACCGTAGTGGGGCACACCACGTAATACTGTTTTGGTATACAATGGTTTGGTATACTTCAGTGCGATATACACCATAGTGGGGCACATCACATGATACTGTTTTGGTATACAATGGTTTGGTATACTTCAGTGTGAACACACTGAAGTGCCTCTTTAGAGGGCTGGACGAAATCACGTCGGAAACAGCTCAGCAGCCAAGACACCTTTTATAAGAGGAGATCTTGTGGATAAACAAGGCAAAAAGACGTCTGTGGTGTGGTGGTACTTTCTGCAGTTTAAAGTCTAACACGTTTATTAAACATAAGGAAATGCATAATTTATACTTGTTACTAACTTTTGGGCGTCATAAAATGCCTCATTAATATTCTCGGCATACTACTAATCTGCTTAACAAACTGTGGGCATAAATGAACATCTGTACAGTACTGGAAAGCTGGCGTTTCCCCCATCATCTGAAGCCCTGGTGATTATGTGCACGGCTGCTGACTGCACAGATTCTGCACAGAAGTTATAACTCAGCCTTTATACCCATTGAACTGGCCCCCAAGCCTCAGCCCAATCCTGCTCAGCCAACTTAAGCTCCTTGCCCATGATAATCCTGGAGACAGGATGCAGAGGGTTTCTGGGCCAGACCAGCCAGTTATAGACTCCTCCCCCTCGCCCCGGAGCCATCAGGATTACCGTAACGAGTCCTCGTCGTTGCTCAACTGCTTGAACCTCTTGTGCAGGATTTGGATCTGCTCCGGGGAAACTGGGGAAACAAGCAGGACAAAGTACTGAGGTGCCGGGTTGGGAGGGTAGCCCGCTGCCCAGAAGCAGCACCGGCCTGGAAACATCAGCGGTCTCTAGTCCCGTGGTGATCCGTCATCTCGCTGCGGACACCGTGTAACATGAATCACGGCATGACGTCCATGTTTGCAGATTTCAGATGTCAGCAAATGTGTAAATATTTATGATGCATAAACATGTCATGACATTGTCATTTACCGAAACATGACTTGCATATCAAATTGTTGTCAGCCGTGGTGGATTGTGGGAAATAAATCTGTCAGATTGACTTCAGAGCAAAGTTTAATGAAAGTAGAGACTTTTATGTAAAAAAAAAAAAAAAAAAAAAAAAAAAAAAAATGCACAGTAAAGTGGAGCCAAGGACCCAGTTAGACAAGAACAGGTGTGAAAAATTGTGACAGCTCCTTTAAACCAAAACTGATATTTGTGTGTCACAAGGATGCACTGTGGTCTCAACCTCCAGGTGTCTGGGTCTCATCTTCACCCCCACTCTCTGTGTTGGGCCTCCTGCTCTCTCTGTGTTAATGTGGCTTTGTCTTGGTACACTGATTGCCTCCACCAGTCCAAAAATATGTGTTAAGTTAAAGTGGCATCACTGGCCTTAATGTGCATGTGTCTCTGTGTGTGTCTGTGTGCGTGTATGTGTGTGTGTGCGTGTGTCTCTGTGTGTGTGTGTGTGCGTGTGTGTGTGTGTGTGTCTGTGTGCGTGTATGTTTTGTAATCATTACAATGTGATGAAAACTTGTAAGTTTTTTCCTTGTGGGGACATTTGTTTTGCAATCAAAAACTGCAACCGAAAACTAAAAATGCCAAAAGTCTTGTATTTTGTTTCTGTGTGTGTGTGTGTATGTGTGTGTGTATATACCCTTTCCTTCGGGATTCATAAAGTTTTCTGATTTCTTTAGTTTCTCAGAGAGGCCCCAGGCTCAGTAGATGAGCGAAACAGAAGATGGATGCATGTTACAAAACTCCCCATGAGAACATCTCACGCTCACAAAATCCATTCCGCACTGGAAGGTCACTGCCCAGAAAGCAGATTTATTTCAGCTGAGCTTTCCCCAGCTGCCATTACTCACCCGCCTCTCCCCCGAGTCATGATACCATACATAGTCCTGCTGGACCCTGCAGTCTCGCATTGTCGCCTTTCTGTTCTGAACTTGCTAATGCACTCTTTCTCCCTCCCCCTTCCGGGGGTGAAGCACTCGGAGGTCCGGATAGATGGAGCCCCCTGCCTGCCCACAGGTCTGCCTGCCCGCCGGCCGCCTGTGCCCCCCCGCCTGCTTGCCGTCTGCCTGAGCCCCCTACCTGTCTATCTGCCTGCCTGCTTTGCTGTCCTGCCATCTGCCTGAATTTATCTCACACTAAATTATGTAAACTCGCACGTCCCCATGCCGGCCAGTGAAACCCGGGCCTCCCCCTTCATTCTGGGCCCTCCTCTCTCTGAGGGCATTTCTCCCCTCCTCTGTCACCTCAGGCTTTTACTCCCCAGGGACCACAGGCCCAGGGAATTGCGACAAAGCTCCTTGTTAAAGGTACTATACAAATGAGCTGAATAGATGGATTAACTTAAACTAACAAGCTAACAGATGACATATACTGCTGTACTATACTGCTGTCTATTTAGAGTGATTCTGACTCAGGTGTTTCGTGGGTACTGATGAGTCATGCAAAAATGGATTTGAATATTCTGCTGCAATGTAAAACAGGCCAAAACCAAATCTGCACTCACAACTTCATTATCAGAAATAGAACTCCCATGTACTAATGTCATGGCCATAATTCCCCCCACAAAAATATTTATAAACATGAAGAAAGTGTAATAAACTACAGGAGACTTGCAAGACAGCAGTCTGTTTGACAAGGTACATCTGTACTTTTTTCCCCCCAAATGATTTTATTGTAGTCTTCCCTGGGTGGCTGTAAGGCAAAGCTTTAAATTATTCACTGTGGCTCACTTTAAACCTCAACAGCTACGTAGTATAACTGCCTTTTGGCCGTGCAAGAAGGGTATACATTAGTCACAAGTACCATGAGCTCCAGAGAGAGCTAGAGAGCCCAGAGTGACTGATCCCTGAAATGTCCAGCACCGACCCAAACACACGCGTGTGCACACACACACAAGTTTGTAATTTTACCTTTGTGGGGATTCTCCATTCATTTCTTTAGGGAAAACTCTAATCCCAACATGACAATCTTAACCCCTACCCAGCCCTAATCTTAACCAAAAATATCCTTTTTAAAAAATTTTAGTTTTTTGATTGCCGTCATATTTTTTTTAAATTGACATCAAAATAACAGATTATTATTACACTGTGGGGACATTTGGTCCCCACAATGTAATGTATACCTGGACCACACGCACACACAAACACACTTGTATCCACATGTCTTTCTAAAGAGTAGTTATTAAGTGCACACCCATGGGCAGCAAACCATGCCTCTGCCTAAATCCTGGTTAAACATTTGAGACTGCAAGGAACTCTTTATAGTTACACCATGACAGAAAATCATCTTTCTAACAGCAGTCTAAACTGGCTGCAGAACATTCTCCAATTCGGCATGGCGCAACGAGTAGAAATACCCCCTGAGCTCCGCTAAAGCAGAGAGTAGTGAAGTGAAACTGTATATTACCCTCGATTTCGGGAAGCCTAGAAGAAACAGAACGTGTAACTTGCGCTAAATTTCTTTTGGAGCGCCTGAGACATCAATATGTCTTCAAAAGCACAAACTATCAATTACTTATACACCTGCCAGTGAAGCAATCACCTTGGTACGGCACGGAAGCACTTCATTTATTTTTCATGGTCGGTCCTGTACCTCGATCTTCTATACAGCCAGACATTGAATTAATCATTACAAAACCTTGGACAGACCAGCTGAACTTCAAACTGCGCAATTCGGCAGTTCTCTTCCTCACTTCCTAAAATATTTTACTGTCGTGATAGTCAGGCTCTTGCCAAACATACCCTTTCAGATAAATGACACCAAATTTTTATGGGGTTCCTATTTGCGCCAAAAATATGTCGATATACGCACTGTTCATGTCAACTGAACGTAACAAAACATTTGTCTGTGTCTATTCAACTTTTAACTGAACATAAGCCGCGAAAATACGATTTTGACAATGAGATTGCGCACCTGACAAAACATTTGTCCATCAGTTCAGCTTTAAGTTATACTTCTCGCATCTTAATTAGCAGGCGATGTGTCGTTATAGATGTGGTCCTGATCGTGCAAAACGACAGGACAGTGTAAAGTTGAAATGACACAGACAAATGTTTTGCCAGGTGAGCAGTCGACATAGGCAACCTCCTTGTCAAAATACATTTGTTAAAGCTGAAGTACAGTTCAAAGTTGAATAGACACAGACAAATGTTTGGTTACATGTTCAGTCGACGTGGATGGTGCGCTATTGACATATTTTTGGCACAAACGGAACCCCACAAATAGACAGAGACACATGTTTTGTTACGAGATACATGTTCAGTCGGTCGACAAGGACAGTTTGCATATAAATCTTTAAAAAAAAAATCACCGATCATCTTCGTGCACATAATCCCGAAAAGAGTCATGTTTCCTTTGGGTTATACTTTAAAATAAAGTGTTTACATAAAACAAGTCTAATTTCTCTTCCTTTTTGTGGACAGATCTAAAGCCAATGAAGAAATATATAAATATATAAAGCTCTCCTTTATTCTAAAGATGATCTTATATATTCAGGGTGACACACACAGTGACCAGGAGCACTGCACCTGAATGCTGATGTCTCATCTCTATAGTGTGCATTTACGGTACACGTACACACACACACACAAAAGAAGTTTTCGGACTTCATAAGAAATGCACACAAAGCCCGGCGTTTATGATCGTTGTCATATCACACTTACATCCCGTCTTCTCTGATAAATCTTGGAAGTGGTCGTCTGGCGCCGAAAAAAGGGCTCCCATCTCTCGGTAATCCAAATAATAATTTTAGCATAGAAAATGACAACAGACGGGATGCCCTTGTTCGGCTGGTGACTAGTTCAGGTGCCCAGGAGCAGAGAGACACCCGGTCTTAACATCGGTTATGTACCGTCTGCAGTAGGTATTGCTCCCCTTTAGTGAAATCCGGAGGGCGTCCCCGCGGTCCTAATGCATTTTAAACTACATATTTCACTAGTGCAAACTTCCGTGATGTTGCTTCCCTTGTGCGTAACACACCAGTTGAACTGGTGGAGAAGACGTCGCAGCAGATTAGAGCCACAACAATCCGACTGACGACGTACGAAAGATGTACGATAAGCTGTGACCCAAACCGAGGTGGTCGGCGCGTATTAAAGCAAGTATAAGCTTGCAATGCGTAAAAAAAGACAAACCGATCAGGAAGATTGCAGTTGGGGTTGTCCTGGATCTAAGTAACATACTCTAATTCTAGTTTCGCTTCATGACTGATCAGAGATGTGTAATGATAACACATTACATGTTAACATTCAGTCAAGGATATAGGCAAAGATGTACTCCTGTTGATTTGCACGGATGGGCAACACTTCCTGATTGATGTATTTATTACCCACGACTTCCAAAAAACGTGTAAAGTCGCACAGATAACCGAACACAGTACGCTAATGCGGCATTGTTAATATTGCCGTTGTTATTTTTTGCTGTTTTCGCTATTGTGATTCTTAGCATTTGCTTCTTGCTCTCCTCTGTAAGAATACCGTCTGGGACAGCGTGGGCAGTTTGTAATATTTAAAAAGGTGTCGCCTGCACGCCCATTAAAGCGACATTGTCTTAATTTACGTGAAATCTATTTCCTATTCCGTGATTCACAGAAGCGCAGTCACCAAGTCGCTAGTTTGTACTGCAGTACTCCTGTCTAAGGACCCGGCGATTTTGTGAGCACACTGCAGTGCTCATTAGATATTCACTGTACGTGGTTTTCAACGGACGGAAGCACTAGAGCCCTCAAGGGCACCAGTGTCACAGTGTTTTTTCGTCTTTTTTGCATCATGTATTATACTACACCCCCCCCCCC